CTGTCTCTCTCTCTGTCTCTCTCTCTCTCTCTCTCTCTCTCTCTGTGTGTGTGTGTGTGTGTGTGTGTGTGTGTGTGCGTGTGAGTGTGTGTGGTTTAATTATGTCTAAGAGATTAATCATCGTTTCATGCAGAAGACGTTAGTTCGAATCCCATGAGGAGAGTATAGATTCTTTGAGTACATCGATCTGTCTGCGAGGATGCTTTGTTCCACTTAGCCCAGGTTGGTCCTGAGAAACTGTCGAAGCAGCCGGCTCTTATATAGTCTAAATTACAACGAAGGAGGCGTGAAACGTTTACAATCCATTCATTCCTTTCCCATCCATCCATCAAGCAACCAATCAATCAATCAAACCCGAGTGCATTTTCACACTCTTTGACCGAGAGAAAAAGAGCACAGATGTCCAAACAGAGTTCATTTAGGACCCATCCTCTCCAGAACACATTTTCGTAATGGAAAGGCCACGGGTATGTTTGACAGATTTCTCGCAGAACGAAAATGGGGTTGGTGAGGGCGGTTCATTTCTAGAAAAGACTGAGGGGAAGATGGTGCAGAACTGATATATTCTAGCTTTGTCATTTGTAATATGAAGAAAGACAAAGAAAAAGAAAAAGAAGTGGAGAGAAGAAAGAGGAGGGGGTGAAAGGAGGAGGAGAATGAGGAGGAGGAGGAGGAGGAGGAGGAGGAGGTAGAAGAAGACAGAGAGAGTTTGATCATTAAATCTGTCAGGCTGTTCACAAGTTCCCATAAGATGACTAACCAGGATTCTGTGGCTTTGTGTGATAGACAGCTCACTGCCTTAAGGACAGCCCAAAGGCATAAAGGATTTCGCTTCAAAATAATTTACCCCCCCAAAAGGAAAACCCTCTCCCGAACACCCCCCCCTCCCCCAGCTCCTGTTCCAACCCCTCCAACTCCTGTTCCAAGCCCTCCCCCATTTTGTTCCTTTGTATTGGTCCTTGACCTCTGAATAACCCGTTGCATCTAAAGGGAACATACTCTATCGTTATTCATTAAAGAGCTGAAAGAAAACCTGAGCCCGGGTCAATTATTATTTTTCAAAGAGAAGTGCAAGAAAATCCTCTTTCCTCTTCTTTTGCGACATAATAGGATGTCGATAGACTTAGTATTGTATGCTCTCCTACCACCGCACTCTCTACTACTCTCACCCCCACCTCTTGCTTCACAGTGCTGTGCGCACAATAATATTAAGGATCTTTGAAATTAGCTCTATTTATAGGAACCAGTGACTAATTGTTAAGCTTATTATGTTGGGTCTTGTTCCCATGCCTTCAACTTGCGGTAAAAGTTTAACAACGACCTCCCCCTCCCCCACTAGCACTGTTTTCCGTTCTCGGGAGACGTAACGGTGACCCCACTGTGACCCCAACGGGGACCTTGGATGTTGTATATTAAGCAAAGCATTACGAAGTGGATGACTGGGACCATACTTAACTTTAACCCAATATATTCGGGGTTTTTTTTTTGGGGGGGGGGTAGTAAGAGTTTGCGGCACTTGCAATACTACTAGATCATATACCTACCCAAGATTAGGGACGCTACAAGAGAGTAACAAACACAAAGACAGAAGTGGGAGAAAGGATATAAGGAGAAAACCACAACAGAGCATCCACCAACCATCCACATATAATTTTAGAAATAAGAAAAAAACTCGAATTAAAAGAGATAAAAGCAATGCGATTAACGAGATGACAAGAAACAGCAAACAGGCACAACAGCACAACAACACAACAGCACATCGTCACAACAGCACAACAACACAACAACACAACAACACATCAACACAACAACACAACAACACAACAACACATAAACACAACAGCACAACAACACAACAGCACATCAACACAACAGCAAACAACACAACAGCACATTAACACAACAACACAACAACACATAAACACATAAACACAACAGCACAACAACACATAAACACAACAGCACAACAGGACATCAACACAACAACACAACAACACAACAGCACATCAAAACAACAACACAACAACACAACAGGACATCAACACAACAACACAACAGCACATCAACACCACAGCACATCAATACAACAGCACAACAACACAACAACACAACAGCACATCAACACATCAACACAACAGCACATCAACACAATAGCACAACAACACAACAACACAACAACACAACAGCACAACAACACAACAACACAACAGCACAACAACATAACAACACAACAGCACAACAACACAACAGCACATCAACACATCAACACAACAGCACATCAACACAACAGCACAACAACACAACAGCACAACACAACTGCAAAACAGCACAACAACACAACAGCACAACACAACAGCACAACACAACAGAACAACAACACAATAGCACAACAAAACAGCACAACAACACAACAGGACAACAACACAACAGCACAACAGCACATCAACACAACAACACAACAGGCACAAAAACATAACAGCACAAAAGGCGCAGATGTAATAACAGCCTTTTCTCTTATTGAAACCATACAGAATGGTGGAGAGCCCTCTCGGCACTCACGGCGTCCGCCAAATTGGATGTCCCAGTCACTGCACGCGCACATGTTCAGGCTACAAGTGTTTTGCCCTAACTGCACGCGAATATTTGAAGGCCACATATGTTGTCCCCTCGCCCCCTCCATAAAAAAAGAAGTTTTAAATGGATTCATTAAGAAAATAAAACCCACACAAGCAAACAGAAATAACAAAAGAAACCGAAACACACACACACATACACACAAACTGACACACACACACACAC